GTCTAAAAAATGGCATCAGCAGTACACAGGTACATAGTACCCATGTTTCGCTACCGCGCAACCATCACCAGTCGCACGTTGAAGGTCGCCAGTCCCCTTCCTAGACTCGAACCAGCGTCTCGGATCACAAGGCAGGCTTGTGGTCCTTAAGGATACGGGCCGGCGCTGGTTCAAACACTTCAAGCGTTAGGCCGACACTGGAAAGCAACATACTCAGGCTGAGTTGCCAGTTTCGCTATTGTCCTTCTCCCTGGGCCATCCACCGGGACACACCTGCAAGCGCAGAAGCCGAACGTGAGGTAACTAATGTGACTGAATAAAGCCGCATGAGCAGGTAGATCTCCATCAGTACTTTTGAAATTCAGGTGACCAGCTCCCATGGGTGATTTGCACAAGTTACTGGTGGAGCTGTGAGAGCAAGAAACTATCACATCAGACTAGAGCCACCCTGTTATAGTCCCAATTTTAAGTGAGCCTCACATTTAAAACGTAGCAATCATAGAGGAATCAATCTGATAAAAATTGCCTTGAATCTGTCATTCCCCACAGACTGGTTGTCACTCGTAAAAGCCAGATTCGAGGAGCAGGCCGGGTTTGGTTGGAATCCAGACTGCATTGATGACATCTTTACGTCAGTTGTTGGAATACCGCCACATTTAATGGCGATCCAACATAGTCGTATTCCTCGACATCAAAGTTGCCTCCGATCCAATGGATCGGTGTCCACTGGGCCTGTCTACTCAGGGTACGCATGCTCGGAAAATACGTAACATTATCGGAGTGCTTTACGCGCACAGTTCGGGCAGAGTGAGGGCTTATGCCAAGCAATGGTTGCCCTTCAATAAGTCCAGCGGCGTGAGAAGTTTGCCCAACAACCCTATCATACGGTTGTGAAACCAGGCCCATCAGGTCGACAGACATAAAGAGGCTAGTCACGTTCGACCATCACTGCCTTCGTAGATTAGCTCATGTCTGGTGGGAGCAGTGCGTGAGTAATGAGCGTGTTTGGCGTCGCGTATTTGGTGCAGGAAGAGCGAGTGAACCGCTCAGCACCATCATATAACGCACCAGGCTCTGATGGCTGGACCGTGTTGCGTATGCCGGAACACCAACTCCCGCGACGTGCATTGCTTGCGCGTCGGGGGTGCGGTTGGAGGAGGATAGGCCGCGCGGTGACTTGGTCGAGAGTAATGAAAACCATCACTTCGAAGCTGGCGACGCTTGATGCATACCGAGTGCCTAACTAGGGTCCTAAGAATCACAGCCCTCAAACGTTTTCGTGTCTCTGGCCCGGTTTTTCTTCCACTGCACTATTTAAGGATAGAGGTGAGGGCCTCTGAAAAGAACTGACCTCCTTATTCGAATGTATCTGGAAGGAAGTGCCCCGGCTGATTGGAGCGAATCGATTATCGTGGCAATATACAAGGGCCGATGCACAGACTGCTATAACCGCAGGGTTATTAGCCAAACGACAGTTGTGACAAAATTATTGGCCTCGATTCTCGTTCGTCGCATCACTGTGGAACTGTGCTGTCTGATGAAAGGTTAGTTGATCAAGATTATGCGGACGATATCGTCTTGCTTTTCGACGATGTTGGGGTGGCCAAATCAATCCTGATTAACCTGTCTAGAGTGGTCCCATCATTTAGTATGCGCTTCGCACCTCCAAAGTGCAAAGTGTTGCTGCAGGACCACCAGCCACTTGATGACCCCTTGACGCTTGTTAACGAGGAGCTCGAGGTGGTTGATCATTTCACTTACCTTAGCAGCGGCATCAGCAATGATGGGCGCATAGAAACTGGCGTCAGCTCACGCATTGCAAAAGCCAGAGCTATCTTCTTGAACCTGCGTCATCTTTGGCGACAGAAGGGAGTTTCCCTCCGTCTGAAAGGCCGTGTACACAAGGCCACAGTGAGGGCCGTTTTGCTCTATGGTAGTGAGACGGCCTCTTCGGCATGAAGATCTGAGGCGCCTTCAAGTCTTTGATCATCGTTGTCTGCGAAGGATTGCTGGAGTCCGCTGGCACCAGCATGTCCGCAACGATGATGTGCGTAGGCGAATACTAGGTAGTGATAATCATGCTAGCTCCCTAAAACAACAGATAGCACTGAATAAGTTGCGTTGGCTCGGACATGTGCTATGTATGCCTGGTCACGGCTTACTTAGGAGGGCCTTGTTCAGTCTGCCAAGTGTAGGGTGGCGCAAGGCTCCAGGTGGACAGAAGTTGACTTGGCAGCGAAAATTGAAGTCAATGACGACCAAACTGGGTTCCGTTGATCCGTCTCGCCTTCCGGCCTGGAGTCCACATGACTCGCCTTGTGCTTGGCTCGAGACGGCAGGATATGGCTCGCAGTGGACACCAGTGGCGCGTCTGCTGCCGTCTCCTAATCGGATTGCCTGTTTAAAGTATGTTTGGTGCAGAGTTATCTGCGGAGTATGGGCTGATTATGACGCGTGGCAGTGAAAGCCGCAAGGAAGCTTTCTCGCTGATGCCGCCTTATCTTTGCACGATAGCCAGCTGTTTGTGACGGAATGTTGTCTACACAAGGTGTAGGCGCCTTGACCCTGAATGTTTGCTTAGGGCATTAAGGTTTTCAGGTAAGCCCCTTATTTCCCTCTTCTTTATTTCATAGGTCCTCATGGTTGTATGGCAACGAAGCATCAGCTCAAATGGCTGATGTACTGCTGTTGATGATGATGATGTCGAGCGATATTGTAAACACGCATGTGAGGGCCCCTTAGCTCAGCGGCCAATTGATGCATCAACTCGGGATAAATTGAATCAGGTCCAGAAGATTTGGAAGGAGTTAACCCTTGCAATAGCCCGAAGACTTGTCTCTGTTATGCTTTCAGTTGGGTAAGAATTCTTAGGCACTTGTGACTAGCTCAACCTGAGGTAGAGGTCTCACGAGAAAAGACAACAGTATATTGTTTGCTAAGTATACAAGCCTTATCATAGTCGGTATGACCACGGGTCCCCGTCCACTCGTATCAAAGCCAATATAGACAAGTTTGTGCCACTGCATTTCTTTATTTCAGCAAAAGATTTCTTTGGATTTGTTGCGGCTGCGTCAGCCAAATCCTTTTCCTACTGAAGACGAAGAGTCTCAATAGGTTGAGTACATCTATTTTTAACCACTCGATAGCTTTAGTAGGTGCTAGTTGATAAGTTTGTCAGCACTTAGATCGCTTCCTGAGCAGATAGTTACCTGTACGATCTATCAAAGGAGGCTGTCTCCAGGTCACCCTTTTTTAATGAGTGGGATGTGGGGATCAGAGATCTCGGTGAAATATGCCTGTATCAACGGTCAGCCACGGTGATCGCGCAACGCAGAACTGAAGCTGTCTCGCACTGCGTTAGTCTGTTCGGCAAATATTTGCCTTAGCGATAGCCTGATGACACAGTGAGAGCACATCGAAAGGATATGCTGACATGATCACTTGCTCCTAGAAGAAAGCCGCATGTGATATCACTTACGAAATCGTGTAACTTCACGGAAATGAGATCGAAGGCAGATGGAAGCTGGTTGCTCACATATCTAGTCGGGAGGTCCACGAACTGATGCAAAGGAAGTTGCAACATTAGCTCGAGAAGATCCGAACCGTAAGTGCCCACCGACGAACTGCAAGGTAAATCAGCGCAGCAGACTTCAGGGAGGTTGAAGTTACCCAGTATTAGACACCCATTGGTAGTCTAGTACAAGTAAAATCAACAACCTCCCTGGAGATATTTCCGAGCCTTCGATATACCACTACAATTGTAAACTGAGCAGAGAAAGTTCCCACAATAGTCGAGAGGGCTTCAACAGTTTGATCCTGCGACTAGAAAACACAAGTCCACAACACATCAAGTTTACAACTCACATAAAGAGCAATGCCTCTATCTTAACGACCAACGGAGCGATCACATTTAAGCAGTGCGCAGCCAGGTAAACATACTTCACCGTCTGTAATATCCGGGGACAACCACGTTTCAGTGAAAGCAAGTATGTCGGAGTGGGATTTGTCTACAAGTAGACCCACCTCGTGTACCTTGTTCCTTAAGCTACGCACATTGGTAAGCACTACCAGGAGGAACTCGGCATGCCCAGTCCTGGGTTGCACGTTAGTAGGAGTTTTGGTAGGGCGGAATTCGACTTCCGGCTGACCGCCCAAAGACCTACAAGATGAAGGGCTTGCTCACCAGCCGTCCGCTTGCTCTTGAGGCTTTTGATGTATTCCATTAACTTCAGTCGTTCTGCCAGTGGGAGATCCAGCTGAATGTTGATATTGCTACCCTTGAGTTTAAATGCAAAGCGCATTAACGGTTTGCGCTTTTCTGGGTTTGAAAGGATTACCCAAAGTAGTCGGGGTCGCGAATTTGGCGTATCGAAAGGGACATTGTCAGTCTCGTTAGCTTCCTGATGGTGACACCGGAGGAACCAAGTGGAAGCTTCTTGTTGACACAGAGCTTGAATAAATGGAGGTCCTCCAGCACGCAATCCCGAGGAAGAGCTGCCGCGGATTCAGAAACGTTACGGAAGAAAACGCTACTCTCAGTGAAAGAATTACCCCGACGAGGCGTATTCACTCCACGAGTCTTGACTCGTTTAGACCGGTTTGGCAGATAACACGGCGCGTTTCTTCACCAAGGGAGCTGGATTAAATGAGGTTGAGGCTTTGTGTTCTATCTCTAACTTCTTCCCCAGTGTTGTTTTTTCACACTGCGGGTGTGGCCGAAGAAAGGATGCAAGAAAGGCGATGGTGATAAAAAGGCAAAGAAACAGTTTGTACTCTAAAAAACAGCACTGCGAAAAATAATTCACTTCGATGATGAGAATCAGTGTCTAGATGAATATTAACGACAAAGCTCGATTATCAGCTTCTGACGGGGTGAGATGCCGAAAAACATTGTAATCAGTGAACAGCTAATAACGGAATACGCAAACAAGATTAAACGCTAAATCAAAAAGCTACGGTAGTATTTAAACAACTATATGATTTCAGAAAGTCTTGTTCACCTTTGGAGTGTAAGCCAGACCAGCACAAATCAAGTTACAGGCAAACGAATATGGCGAACGCAATGTTGAAGGCCGTCGGCCATTACTGTTTTGGCCTTGTATTAGCGCGGATTACCACCAGATGGAGACATGTCAACCTGGATGAATTTATCATATTAATAACCCTTTAGAAAATTCATCTTTACCTAGTTAATAAACATAAACAATATTGAGTCAACGCTGTTCTCTTAGACCCTGGAAGTTAGGACTTAAAAACTTGCAAGTTCAGTGCATTTTCTATTGGGTTGTAAAGAGCAGACACAAAAACTGTTCTTAGCTCCGGTGATACCTGTATTTTGTGATGGCTTCGTGTGTGAAATGGCTACTTTCATTCAGGCCTCGTCGCGGTTGCAGTGGGAGCGGCTATATCCCAAGGTCTTCCTTAAGTGACCGCCTAAAAACCTTTAAAAAATTACCCCGTTAGTGTGTCAGCAATTTTCTTAACTAAACTGTTCCAGTCAAGCAACACTCGCGTGGACAGAGTAAGGTCTGAACTAGCGTGGATCCTCCGGTTTCCCCCTCCTTGGCGGTAAATTGAAATTTTTGAGCGTGCTTTATTTTTGAGATTTTACTTTCAAAGGACAGTTCCGGAACAGTGTTTACAAGTATCGTGCAAAAAATTTGACTTTTGTCAAATTCCGCTTGATTCAAAGAATTTCGGATCATCGTTGTCCTCGGATTACGTCGTACCCGTTTTCGGGTACTTACCAACGTCGTCCATCTTATTCGGGTTCAGCCTCTGGCTATTTTCCCTGTATTTTTGTGTTTTGTAATCCGTTTGCACCTTGTTTAACCCATAACTGTTTCTGTTGACTGTCCTGCTGGTAACTGCTTCTCGGTTTTACATTTTGATACTTGTTTCACACTCTTTGAATGCGTCATGTCGGATTCACCGAATACCGGTGCCGGCGTGTCTCCGGCTGCATTGATCAGCGAATCTAATGCTGTATGCGGCAGCGGGATCTGCTCAAAGCCCATGACAGGCGTGTCTGTTGGCGTGCAGTGCTATGTATGCAACTGCTGGTACCATGGGACTTGTACCGAATTGAGCCCTGATCAGTACGCAACGCTTTCGACTAGCGATAGCATGCTGTTCAGTTGTCTTCTATGCCGTCGCCGTCGATCTACGCATCTTGAGGTCACTGAGGAGACATCGAGCAACGTCGGGCTGGGTAACCAGCAGTTGTGGTCCTTCCTCATATCTCTTGATCGGAAAGTGGAGTTACTGATGAGGAATATGTGAGTCTATTGATGTCGGCTCATTGGAGGAAGACACGCAACTAACCTAAATTGCTGTCGATGAACTTATGGCCGAACTTATGGCCCCTGGGCTCAAAAAATGCAAGAGGAAGCGGGCTAAAAAGTCCGGAAGGCTCCCTCAAAGCCTGAAAGTACTGAAAGCATTAAGGTATTGGAGGTGGAGCACAAAATTCCAACTCCAATCACTTCAGTTCCACTGTCGGAGCAAAGCGTGGTGTCGACTTCTGCCACACCCGCAAAGTCTTAAAAGACTAGACAGGTGAGGGAATTGGAGGCAGAGAATAAAGCCTCAACCTCTATTACTCCAGCTCACTTGGCGAAGAAACGCGCCGTGTCATCTGCCAAACCAGTCGAAACTGAGGTCGCGTCGAAGACGCGTGGAGTGAATACGCCTGGTCGAGGTGATTCTTTTACTGATAGTAACGTTATCTTTCGTAACGTTGCTGAATCCGCGGCAGCTCTTCCAAAGGAACGCATGCTGTATGACCTCAACGGTTCAAGCTCCGCGTCAACAAGATGCTTCCACCTGGTTTACCCGGCGTCACTAGCAGGAAATTAACCAGATTGTGGAATGTCCCTGTAGACACGCCAACTGCGCGACCCCGACTACTTCGTGTAGTCCTCTCAACCCCGGAGGAACGCAAAGCGTTAATGCGCTTTTCATTCAAACTCATTGTCAGCTTTGAGCCGGACCTCCCACTGGCAGATTGACCGAGGTTAAAGGAAGTCATAATAAGCCTCAAGAGCAGGCGGGCGTCTGGTGAGGAATGCCTTCGTCTTGTGGGTTTTCAGGTGGTCAGCCGGAAGTCAAATTCTGCCCTACCAGAACCCCTCCTGGTAGCGTACGACCCAGGGCTGGTCGTGCTCACTTCCTTCGGGAAGTGCTTAGTAATGTGCGTAGCCTAAGAAACAAGGTACACGAAGTGAGTCTACTTGTAGACAAAGCTCACTCCGACATACTTGCTTTCACTGAAACGTGGCTGTCCACGGATATCACAGACGGTGAAGTATGCTTACCTGGCTACGCACTGTTTAGATGCGACCGCTCCGTTGGCCGCCAAGGTGGAGGCGTCGCTCTTTATGTGAGTTGCAAACTTGATGTGTTGAGGACCTGTGTGTTCCAGTCGCGGGATCAAACTGTTGAAGCCCTCTCGACTATTGTGGGCAATTCCTCTGCTCAGTTTACAGTTGTAATGGCATATCAAGGTCCTGTTAGTATCTCCAAGGTGGTTATTGAATTTATTCGTACTGAGGCTGCCAATAGGTGTCTATACTGGGTAACTTCAACCTCTCTGAAGTCTGCTGGGCTGATCTATCTTGCAGTTCGGCGGTGGGCACCTTCGGTTCGGATCTTCTTGAGCTAACATTGCCACTGTCTTTGCATCAGTTCGTGGACCTCCCGACTAGATATATGCGTAACCAAATTCCGTCTACGTTGGATCACATTTCCGCCAAGTTACACGATTTCGTATGTGATATTACCTACGACTGTCCTCTAGGAGCAAGTGACCATGTCCGCATATCCTTTCGATGTGCTCTAACTAAGTGTCATCAAGCTACCGCTGAGGCATGTCCAAATATTTGGCTGGCAGACTTTAACGCAATACGAGCCAAAGCTTCAGTTTTGCGTTGTGCGATCACCGTGGCTGACACCGTTGAGACAGCCTGGGAGAAATTTAAAGCGTACCTCACTGAGATCTCTGCTCCCCACATCCCATTCACTAAGAGAAGGGTGACACGGGCGCAACCCCCATGGATAGATCATACAGGTAAATGCCTGCTCAGGAAGCGCTCTAAGTGCTGGCGTACTTACCAAGCGGCTTCATCAACCAGCGCCTACAAAAGCTAGCGTGCGGTTTGAGATAAATGTAAGCAGCATCTTAGAACTCTTCGTCTTCAGTAAGAGGGGGATTTGGCTAACGCAGCCGTAACAAATCCAAAGTTCTTTGCTTACTTAAACAGACGTAGCGGTACAAATTTGTCTATACCGGCTTTACTACGAGCGGACGGTACCCATGCCCACACCGACTACGATAATGCCTGTATACTTAGCGAACAGTATACTGGTGTCTTTTCTCATGAGACCTCTCTACCTCAGGTTGAGCTGGCCACAATGTTCCGGAGGATTCCTATCTAAATGAAATCAGCATAACGGAGACACAAGTCTTCGGGCTATTGCAAGGGCTAAATCCTTCCAATGCCTCTTTCGCTGATTCAGTTCATCCGAAGCTGATGCGTGGATTGGCCGCTGAGCTAAGTGGCCCTCTGACATGCATGTTTACAATATCACTCGACAGTTGTGCCTTACCTTCTGAACGGAAGAAGGCAATCATCTGTCCGATTTTTAGGGCGGGGAGAGAGTTCTGCCCTCGAACTACCGGCCTGTCAGCGTAACATGTGTAGTAGTTAAGTTGTTTGAAAAATTAGTCAGGGATTCGGTGGAGAATCACCTGATTAAGTTTAACCTTCTCAGTGCGACCCAGCACGGATTCCGTAAGGGCTTTTCATGTCTGACAAATTTGCTTGTAGCTCGTGAAAGCTGGGCTGAGGAAGTAGACAAAGGTCACGGCATCGACGTGCTTTTCGTTGACTTCTCGAAAGCCTTTGATACTGTCCCACATCAACGACTCTCATTGAAGGTGAGATCGTATGGGATATCTGGAGCCGACCTTAAGTGGGTTTCTGCTTTCTTAGAGGGCAGAGAACAGTGTGTACGCGTGGGGCGTAGCCTTTCGCTTAGACAAGCTGTTCTTAGTGGCGTTCCGCAAGGCTCGGTTCTAGGGCTGTTGCTTTTCGCAATTTATGTCAATCACCTACCCCAAGAGCTTGGAGTACCGTCGCTATTGTTTGCTGATGACCTCAAGCTCTGGTATAGTGTGGATATCCCTGGTGGCTCTGAGGCACTTCAGAGTGCGTTGGATAGGCTCTGGGATTGGTCAAACTTATGGTTGATGCCCATAAATCAGGCGAAATGTTCTGTCCTCCGCATTGGAGGTGCTAGTCCCCCCACGCGCTATGTAGTTGGTGGAAGTAAACTCCCTGTTTTCATTCAGCAGGTTGATCTAGGTATCCCCCATACCTCATTGCTTCACTCTGGGGAAAATTGGAGGAAGGCTGCTTGTAGGGGGTTCCGTATGATGTGGTTTATTCGCCGCTCCTTCGGTCTCCTAACGGCCAATATTTTTGTGAAGCTGTTCTCAGCTTTTGCGCGACCTCACTTAGAGTACTGTATCCAGGCTTGTCCACCCTGTCTTGTAAGGGACAAAATGGAACTGGAGAGGGTTTTGCGATTGGGTACAATGTTAGTGCAAGGATAACAGAGGCAAACGCATCCCGAACGTTTGCTTAGCTTGGGTATGTACTCAATGCACTACCGTAGAATTAGAGGAGACTTGATCTTCACTTACCGCATCTTAACGGGTAAGATCGGTCCAGACTTGTCCTAGCTATTTCGTCCCGCCAAGCTGCCTAGTCTCCGAGGTCACCAGCTGAAGCTGTATAAACAGCGTTCTGACCGGTTAAGGGCGGAAAGTCGCTTGTCGCTTCGAGTTATTGAACGTTGGAACTCGCTTCCGGCGCACGTGGTTAGGGAGTCTACGGTAGAGGGTTTTGAGCGTCAGTTAGATGCTCTTGGGTGGCAGTACCTAACCTTCCCCCTCTCCTAACCGACTTGTAGCTTCAACTTTCCCGTCGTTATTTTTTAATTTTTTAATTTGGTATTATCATTATTTAGCTGACATTCCTCCTCTTGTTTTCTTAGTTTACCCCTCCCTCTTTTACTTCACATAAACCGGCCTATCAGGGAC